GCGGGGGCGCGCGCCTGACCCAGGCGGCCACGCCCGGACCGCGGGCGCCCCCTCTATCCCGCCTCTTATGCCGACCACTCTCGCGGATGAGCATCCGCTACCTTGGTGCCCGGGACGACCCCTCCCTCGATCTGGTGGGGAAGGGGCGGAGCCGAGAGCTCGGCCACCCGGACGAAGGTTGGGGGAGGGAGAGCCAGGGCCACGGTGCCATGTGCCGAGCGACAACATTTGCACGTCTTGTGTTAGCGTTTGCCTGACCCCTGTGTCAATGTCCCTTTGTGAAGAGGGGTGTAGTGTTTTTGCTAGATGGGGCTGTATCCAGAAACCTAGGGCAAGTCTGTCCACTGGATGTCCCAGAAGACAGACATCGCTCTCTCCAGCATCCCGACGGCTGGCCGGACTCAAAGAGCCAAGTGAAAATTTCATAAAAGGGAAGACATACCACTTATCCGTATTATGCAACAGGTCACCTCAGCGCAAGAACTAGATTGGGAGTCAGATGTTGGAAGCCTAGCCCCACCTCTACCTGATTCCCTGGGCGACCTTGAAAAAGTCGCTTAGGCTCTCTGGGCTCAGAGCCAGACTGAGACATTTAGAGACCCTAAATGCTGAGAAGATTCACGCTCTCCCATCACAAGTAATCGAATAAAAACACCATGAAACTGTCATACAGATTTAATTATTTCCTGTGCTGTCCACCTCGGTGCTATTTTTAGAAACATTTTTTTTTTTTCTTTTTCACTACTCTTGCCTTGGGTAAATCTTTTCCCTTCTCTGCAGCGAGGGTATAGGACTCTCAGATGCTCACTTAGCTCTGTCCCTGTCTGTTGGGCTGAGATTCTTAGCAAGTAACAGCCCAGGGGCTACAGAACCTGAGTGAGCACCCACTGAAATCCTCTAGAGGCCCTGAAAAGATTCCCACTGTCTGCATTTTTAACCTAAAAAATGATTAGCAACCAGGCCAAAGCAGCAGTCCCAAGCTAGCTGGGGCAGGTGTAACAGAGCCACAGCCCTTTTGGCAACTCTTGCTTCACTGCCCCTTGGGACACACCTTCTTGGTGCGGCATGTCCTAGAACCCCAGGGCTGGGTAGGCTGCCTCAGAGATCATCCTCTTGGCCCCTTTTTCTGTTATCTACAAGTGGGTTGAGGATTTGCCAGCTTTAGCTAAGCTGCTCCTTTTTTTTTTCCCCGTCTTGAGCAGCCAAAACACAGGATGTGTCTTCTCAAAAGTCAACTTATCAGCTTCCATCTGCTCGCTCATTTCTGGATGTGCTGGCCACAGACCTCACCAAAACCTTTTCGTTGAAGGGGAACTCAGGCAGGGTTCCTAAGGAGCCCTCTAGATTCTGGAAAAGGGCCCTTCCCCACCAGTCTGAGTAGGTTTTGGCATCCCCCTCACCAGCAGAGCAGAAGCCAACTACGTGACATCACCAGTGAATGCCGTGGGTCCAGAAAGTCCACCACTTGCCAGCACTAGTCCCGAGTGCCCAGCACACAGATGCGCTCTCATTTCTTAGCCACTCAACAAATTGCTAACCCTGTGCTAGCTGCTGGAGAAACAAAGATGAGCAAACCAGGTCGCAGCCCTGGAGGAGTTTTGTTTAGTGAGAAAAACAGACACAATTTTTGCCACATCCCAGGCAGAGGAACTGCCACTCAAAGGCTGAGGAGCACGGAAGTGTGTTGTGCTAGCAGGGCCTGATGTTTGCTCCGCCAGGGCTCTGTTCTAGTCTCTGCTGAGGGGGAGACTTTCTGCTCAGCGTGCCAGGGTTACACACTGCATTCTGCTGATTGTCTGTCTGGGCCCACATCCGCAGCCACCGTCTGTCTTAGATCTTGGGCTTGCAGGGCAGAGAGCTGGGCCATGTCTGGGCACTTCTCCCTGTGGAGAATCTAGCCCAGCCCCCCACCGCTTAAGGATTCTGTGCAGGATCAGTTATCAAAGGAACGTGGTCACAGTCTGCAGGCGTGTTGGGTGTTGGGAGGGCCAGAGCTGTCAGAGGGACCTCTCGCCCGACCCAGATCCTAATCTACTTCCAAAGGAGGGCCAGTTGTCCTCTGTGCCCACAGCCTCCTCGCCATTCCTGTTAAAGCTCAGTTGAACAGCCACTTATTACTGTGTGCCAGGCACCAGGCTAGATGCTGGAGGCTTAGTGAACTCTATGACCTGGTCCAGGGAATCTTGGCCAACGTCGTATTTGCTACAGTGGAATGGATATGGCTCTTCTTCACACAGTTAGCCAGCAACAGGCCCTGTGGGTCTGCTGATTCCATCGCAACCGCGTTAGTGGAAGGGACAGACTGTGGAGTCAGAGAGACCCCAGTCAGAATCCTGGCTCTCCCCCTTACTAGCTTTGTGACGTTCAGTGAGTTCACAATTTCTATTTGTAAATGGGGCAGCAATTCCTACCTTGCCCTGAGAATTAAATGTGGTGTATAGAGGGACAGCACAGCCCCTGGGTAGAGATGTTCAGGAATATCGGTCCCCTCCCTGCTTCCCATCTTCCTTTGCCTCTTGGACATTGGGGGTCTCCTTTGCTCCTTACCTATCACCCTGCCTGCCTCTCCAGGCTACCCTCCACCCCACCGTCCAGAGAGCTGCTCGGGTCAGTTTTATCAGGATTGCCACACTGGGTGTTTTCCTTTGCCTGAGAGAATACAACCTCCCCACCTGTCTGAACATCTCCAGGTTCCACTGTGTACAGAAGTGGTATTCTGAAGTGTAAATGAATCCAGGTAGAAGCATCTCGATGCTCACTTTGGCTGGTGAGTTAATGCATGTCTGTAAATAGACATGGGGTAGTATGAGGCAGTGGGATGCATCGAGGCCTACAGCCTAGAGTTGACTTGGAATTCCAGCTCTGCCATTCACTAGCCACAAGTCCCCACGCAAGTCCCTTCCCTTCTGAGTCTCAGGTGCCCTTTGCCATACACGTTTTGATGTCATTACTCACTGTGCTTCGGGTTCCTCTCACATTAGTCTCCTGTCCCCTGGTTCTGGGTATGGCAGCCTCTCCAGCCAGAAGGTGCCCCGGGGAGCAGAGCAATGCCCTGGACACCCTTGGCAGGCCAAGCCTATAACAAAAGCTTATTAGGACAAGAGAACACAAGATAGGTAGAATGCAATTGGGTGGCCAGGTAGAGTAGGGGGATATAAAGATATGGTCAGTCTTTACCTGAGGCAACTAGAGAAAGGGGTGTGAACCCCAAGGGGCATCTACGATTTCCACCCACCATTCCAAGCCAGGGGAGAAGCTGGGCTAAGCTCAGGGCTGGCCTGGGCAGATCCCACCCTCTCTACCATCTCTCTGGGCTCCTGCAGCTCAAACCCTCAGCGCTCCACTAAGGCATCCTCCTTTGAGTCCATGTGGCTCCCGCTTCCTTTGAAGCACTGAGGATCCCAGCGGGACTGGGCCAAAGAGGGAAGGAAGGCAGAAGGCTTGGGATTCAGACAGATCCCAGTTTCAAGGTTTGGCTCCACCTCTTCCAGGTTGTATAACCTTGGGACAGTCAGTTAACCTAAAGGAACTAGTTCTCCAAGATCCACATTACTAGAGAATCGTATGGCTGGTCTGTCTTCTCCTGACTGGTCTGCCCCGTCATGGCCACAAATACAATCTGAAAAAATTCTGCCTATTTTCCCTAGGTTCTTCCCCTCTCCTGTGAGAGAACACCTAGAAACTTGCCCCGACCCCCAGGAGGGCTGCTGAGTTTCCACTCACTTTCTGCCCACAACCCACATGAGAAGACTTCCTTTAAAGCTTTTCTTTCCCAGTGGGTAGGAGAAAATTATCTCAAGACCCTTTCCGGGAAGCAGCAAGGGCTTGATTCCGCCCATGAATCTAGTTTAGACAAGGACTCCCAGTTGGAGGAGCCACCACAGTCATGTCTGCAGCTATTAGCAGGGACAGCTCTGGAGTGAGCTCAGAGCAGGGGGCACCCATCAAATGCCTCTAGGATCCTTGCAGGCCCGTCTCCATTCAGAGGCTTTAGCAGGTGGACTAAGCTGACCACTGATGGTCCAGAGATGGGCAGAAGTTGGTCTGAGGCACAACAGGAAGAGAACAGCAGAACTGAGCTGAAAAACCAGTTACAGTTGAGTGGGATGTAGTTCCCAGAACCTTCTACTACCCCACTAACTGGTGCCAGCATAGGGAGGGAGATGTCACATGACCCTGTCTGCTCCACAGGGGCCTCCCCTAACCCGGATGTACAGTTCCTCTAAGCCTGATCTTACACTGTGGACGGGGCTGAGCCAGCAGTCAAGGCTACTGTGCTCCACAGCTCTGGCTGGGCTGGTGGTTTCCGCATGTCCCTCTTCAAGAAATCATCTGAGGCTGTTCCCTGGTCCCTGATTCTCCCAACTCAGGAAGGATAGACAGAATGAGGTTTTCTCTAGTCTCGGTATTTGACTCAGTCCTGCCAGCAGCCTTCCGTGGCTCTCACTGACTGTGGCCTGAAGGCAGAACAGGGGCCCATGCAGAACCGCCCCTGACCCATCCTCCCTACCCTAAGCCCCCGTGGAAGACCCTTCGCCCAGAACAGGAGCCAAGGGGCTGCATCCGGCTGTACTGCGACCCACCCCAGCTCCAAGAGGCTGGCCAGACCTTCCACAGCCCCCATTGAGGCAGCAAGAAGTAGACTGGGGCACCAGTGGGTGGTGACCATCATTTGAAAAATAAAGTGAAACAGTAAATCTCAGAGTGCACTGCATTGACCTAAGTTCTGTTCTGTGCAATATCTACTGGGTGGAGATGTTAAGTGTTTCTAACTGTGAGGTGTCATCAAACCATTGAAAAATACTGGAACTGGCTGTGCAGGTGCCCTGGCTGTCCCTGCCCAGCTCTGATCTGCTCACTCCTTGACCAAAGACCTGCATCTAACACACTGCCCCCACCTCCTCCTCAGTGTCACACCTAACTAAGGTCCCTCACCACCACCTGACCGGCCCTACTTCTCCTTGTGGGCACCATGCTTCAGCAGGCCAAACTACATGTCATTCCTTCAACAGGGCCCTGGGCTCACTGAGGGGCCAGCTCTTGGGTGCCAAGTGGGCACACACACACGTGGTCAGGCAGAGAAGTACGGGAAAGGTGTACAGGGTGCTGTGAGAGCCCAGAGGAAGCCAGGCTGCAGGTGACGCTTGAACCGTTTTCAAAGATGGTGAGATGGCCCAAACCTGGAGGTGTGAGAGAGCATGGAGAGAGGTTTTGGTGTGACAAACATTTGGTATGGGAAGAGCACAGCCCTGCGAAGGACCCTTTGCTGCAAACACCGCCCCTTTTCATTCTGTTTCATTCTGCCAGTCCTTCAAAGCCCAGCTCAATGCCATCTCCCAAATCCCCAGGGGACTCATCTCACTTGCACAATTTATCAGCTCTCAGCTTACAGTTAGCTTCTAAATGATAACCTTCCGTAAGCAAGGGCCGAGTCTGATGTACCTTTTTATCTCCCAGAGTCTAGCCCAACGTATTACAAACAGAAGGCTTTCAAAACGTGTTTTGAGCTGACGCATGAAGTTTATAGACGTGCCGACTGGAGCTCAGGGTGGGCGTCTGGCCCAAGGTCACACAAGTTTAGAGTAGTGACCTGAATACAGTCCTCACTAGGTGAGTGCTCTTCTATCATCTCGTTCTAGCAGATTCCAGAGAACGGTTTTGCCTAGTTAATGTGGGCTGGGAGAAGGGTTAATATTCAGGTTGTGGGTATGGTTGTGAGAACCTGTAGATGCAAAGAAGCAATGGCTCCTGAAATTCATATGTAGGGAAGGACTTTGCTTTTCAAGCTCAGGGCACAGGTCTATTTTAGCATCAGGCCAAGGCGCACACTTGGGGGGCCTTCTGTGTCCTGCAGACATCTCTCCAGGGTCCTTGTGACAGGGAGGAGGAATCTAGCAATACCTCCTGCTTTTTATTTTTTCAGTTGCTGAAAACATCTTTATGTCTCCCACCCACTTCAAGCCTGATAGAACCACGAGGAAGTCAAGGCAGAGGCTTCGATTCCCACCTGTCAATTAGTACACAGGAACGGGAAGATTCAGAGTTGTCCAGGGCTGGGGTGGGGCAGGATTTTAGCTTCCTCATATATAAAGCAAGATGACAAGATCGGATGGCTTAGGAAATCTGAAGCAGGGATGTTCTGGGAAGCCATGTCCCCATTTTCCCACCTAAGTTCCGCCCAGGACTGCAGAGGCAGGGCTGCTGCTGCCCCAGACCAGCTGGGCCTCCAGGTAGATTTCTAAGGGCTAGCCACGAGGGAGGGAAGGGACATAGTGAAGGAAGCCCCAGGGAGTGGAGCCCTAGATGAGGGCAAGATACACCTCCAGCCTCCAGTTGAGGTGCAGCCTTTACCCAGTGTCTGCACATGGGGGACACTGAATCTGCCTCCCATTTTCAAGCCTGCAGTTCATCCCCATTCGATCCTACCCTACCTACGACCAGGCACCAAATCTCTCTGGGCCTGTTTCCTCATCTGTAAAATCAGCGACATGCTTCTACCCTGCTTTATGCCACCGAGGCTGTGAAGTAACACAGATGAGACACTTCTCTGCAAAGCAGTAATGCTGGAGCGCGTATCCTTTGCTGATAGTCTTCTGCTCCCCCACCCACAAGCTGAAAGGCTTGGGCTGGACAAGAGGCCACCACAGTCGCAAGCTATGCCTGGAGGCTTGAAGAGGCTAAAGTTACCAGTTCTCTGGCTGGGCACTTCCCTCCACACCCAGGCGGCCTGACCCAGGGCCAGGGGTGGGTGGGGCCGAGCCAGCCAGCCAGCTGCTCTCTGACCCCTTCACATCACGGGGTCTCCTGCCTAGTGCCTCACACACACACACACCCCTGAGCTGACTCCAGCCTGTCTCAGGCCCCCGCTGAGCTCCCCCAGCACAATAGGGCTCTTGTTTTCCCTGCCCCCACCAGGCCCCAGACCTGCTCCCTGGTCCGACTGTTTTCCCAGCCTCTGGCAGGTTCCCCCAACCCACCCGCAGAGCACAGCAGCAGCCAGAGTCCCTAACCACTTCCTCCTTAACCCTCAGCCTCTCCCTGCAACCCCTCCACACTCTCTCCTCCCCCACCCCTTCCAAAGAGCTCAGGCCAGCCCCGGGCTCTCTTTACCTCTGATCCAGAAGCAGACCCAGGTCTTAGCCCTCAGGTAAAAGAAAAACGCGATAAATTAGTGCACAAGAAGGTATTGGTGAGTTGTTATATATTTTAAGAGAAGGCCAAAGGTAAAAAGCTTTGCCCAAGAGAGTGAATGACTCTTGAGTATATCGTTAGGTATAAAGGCACCTGCATACAGACGTGTTGTTGGGGCCCTTCTGGGGCTCCCCATAAAAGAGCTCATGTAGGACACTGGTCCTAGGACAGCCCAGAGCTTAAATTTTTATTCCTAACACAGAAAATGAAACAGTCATCTGTCTTCCAGTTGTGTGTGTTTAGAGGCCTGAACAGCCACGCTCTCCAACTGACCCACCCTTATTGCGATGGCTGATAGGAAAGTCAGCAGGACTTGTGATGCGTGGCCGGACCTTCACCACGCATGTCACTTGGGAGACAGAGCAATGCTAGGATGGGTGGTGTGGGGGCAAGGCTGAGAATGAGCATTTCTAACAGGTGATGCTAATGCCTGCCTATGAGATGCTCCTTCCAGACGCAGCTGAAGCAGTTCTGGACCCAGGGTAAGTGGAGACAACTGATTTTGCAGGATAGAGGCTGATACTCCATCTCAAGTCAGAGGGGGAAAAGGCTCCCTAAAGGTCTGCGTCACTTACCGAAGCAAAAGGATCTCCTGACAACTTAGGTAGAAAAGCTCTGAACCTCGACCAGCGAACTCGGGGGTTCCAGGACCAGCGATCCCACTTACTGGATCTTGTGATCTTTTTAAAGCACATTTTTTGATTCCCTTCTTATGTGCTAGGCACTTTACATACCTTATTTCTATTTTTTACTATAGCCATGCAAGGAGCACAGGTGATATTTGAACCACACATAATTCTAAAGCCCAGACCTTTAACCACTGGGTGATTCTGCCCTAAGACGATAGAACAGCTAAGTTTAGGAAGGACTCTCCATACCCCAACCTGTCTGTACACCATGTCTCTCTCCCACTTACCCCAGACTGATTTTAATTACAAAGAGAGCTTGGGCCATCAGAATGATGAGTAAGTGGGAAAGATTCCCAGAAAGCAAAAATATCACCAATGAACTTTGCATTCTTAGAAGCAAGAAGCTGGACCCACAGTTTGCTTAGAAGCAAGAAGCTGGACCCACAGCTTGCTTCTAGCTCTACGGTTCTAGGAGATAACTATCTTTACTATGTTTAAAGAGAGCTATTTTCTAAAGAAACATAAGAGCTCCTTGACTGCTAATCTCAGCTGGAGAAAAACCTGTCCCTACAGGACGAGGAGGAAAGGAGGCAAACCTAAAAATGATAGCGGAGGTGTCCAGGTCAGCCACAGAAGCGGTGAGTCTCCATTTAAAGCTGCCCACCTCACAATGAATAATCTGGAGCCCAATTTCTTCCCCTCCAAACCCCATATTCCATTCCTTCCTAGGGCCCACCACCTTCACCCCTGGATTGTGACTGATGGCTGGGCCTTCCCTATCCTGCTCATTGCTGTTCCCACCCAGAAGCATAGTTGTTGGCACATCAGAGGTACAAAAGGTGTCTCACAAATCAAGGCATTTCCCATTATGCCTGCAATGTCCACTGGGACTCAGCCAGCTGCCAGGATTCCCTTACCTACACCCTAGATGGCAAGGGCTCTGTTTGAAGCTGGAGAACTAAAGTAAAATCAAGAGGCTGGGAAATTTACTTCTTAAAACTTATTTTAATATCCTCCCCACCTCCCGAATTGGGAAAGGCCAAAACACTCTGGCTGGATTTAATTACAAATTAATACACATTTAAAAAATCATTGTTTAAAGAAAATCAACATTGTGGCAATAAGGGATTATCCTTGGAAAAAGTGAAACCCATATTAACAAAATATGTTGTGGAAGAACCCCACTTAGTGATTTCACTGGCTATTTAAAAGTCTAGTAAAGGTCAAGATTCTGCGTGTTCTCTGGGGCTGGTCCACGCAGTGCAAAGTGGCCTCGCCCAGACCCGGCCGGGTCCCGTCAGCTCCAACCAGACCCTAGACCCAAAGGAAGCAAGGAGAGAGGGCATCCCTTCTTCAGGACAAGGGTAGAAAAGATAAATCAGCAGAGTCCTGCAGCTTCGCTTAGCCCATGGGGAAAAAAGGAGGCAGGAAGTTAGAGGGAAGGCTTAAAGATGCAGCATTTCTTTAACTGTTAAAAAAGTTAAAAATTAAAAAATAATTAGACAAGATTATTGAATGAGAGGAAGGAAAAAAAGGAATAGAACTTAATATTAAGTTTAAACACGGTCACAACTTCATCCATCTCTTTACGTGCAGACACCATCCTTTCGGCATTGTGCTCAACCTTCGAGACCCCGTGGGTACTCTGCTTAGCAGCTTGATTGTAATGGTTAAAAAAAAGAAGGTACTATATGCACACATACTCGTATGCATGCACACGTGCACATGTATATGTGCACATGCATATAAATATATATTGCAATAAAATAGCTTTACAAAAGCTGGGGGCACCAAGGGCTCTGGGGCTGACTTCCTTCCATTCAGAGATCCACATGGCGATACCTACCCGCACGCTTCTCTTCAATTTGAACACTCCATTTTCCCTTCAGATCACCTGATACTGGGGAAAGAGGCGGGTTCACAAACAAAGGTCCTAGAAAATGTGTCGGCAGCAGCATGTTTCACATGTAAAAGAAACGCGAGAGCCAGATGAACTAGTTGAGAGTGCTCTACCCTTCCTGACTTCCCTCCCCCGGCCGGGAACTCAAACGCCCAAATGCCGCATCTTTCAAGATTTCTGGCTGAGCCCTCTTGCCACATGTGTTAGTAACATTCCAAGCTGGCCACCACATGTTCAGGCTCTCGCCTCCTGCTCTCTACTGTCGAGTGCTCTGCTGTTTCGAGGGCATGGTGGGGCCACGCAGCTCCCATTCCAGCTCCATCTTCAGTTTATCATACATCTCAGAAAGAGCCAAATTAAAAAAAAAATTAGTTCCAAAAAAAGTTCATATTTGAAATACCAATTTCCCTTGAGATTATTTTTGAACTCCTCTTAGTGAATCTACTAAAGTGAATTAGACAAAGTGTGTGTGCACAAGCACACAGAGACGCACACACCAGCACACACCCACAAAATTTAGAGGATTGGAGGTTGTTTCCTGCCAAAAGATCTAACAGAGGAAAGCTTATGTGCTGATCAAGTTTTAATATCGTGGTTAACAAGAAATGTACACCATTTAGCAAGCACACAGAGACTGTGGGTAGGAACGCCTGCTCCCCGGAGCATCTGGCTCCCCAGCCCGCTTTCTGCCTACCTTTGGAATAGTTTCGATAGTTACTACATTCAGAGAATCCAAGAGGACTGCATGGACAGATGAACCTTTATTTAAAAAAATAGCACTTCAAATAAATTAAAAGGGACAACCGTCAAGTGTTCAAATTGTGAAGAAATAGTTGAAAACCTAGAGAGACCCAGGCTGCAGTCTTCTAACCTCTTTCTTTGTCCAATGGCAAAACCCCGCGCACCTCAGTTCTCCCACTCAGTTTTTTCCCTGCTGAGATGAGGGAAGCAATTGCAAACAGGAGACCAGACGGAGGAGAAAGCTGCATCTGACTGGAATGAACATTGCCACGTACTTGCTAATACGGGTTTCACTTTATGACCAAATGTATTCTTTCAAAAATAAAAAAGGGGGGGAGGGAAGCTGCATGTTTTTAAAAATTGAAATTATTTAGGGATAAAACACTAACTCTAGTGCCTTTAACGGGCAATAGCAACTTTTTTCCTCCGAAGTCAAATACCATCCCCAGCTGAGCCTTTGTGCTACAAGCTTTTCAGGAGATGTCACCTAAACTTTATTAAAAGAAAAGAACAAGTTTAAATATAGACACTGGACTAGCCCAGTCTGTATTTTCAAGTCCACATTCTTCATCTGAAGCACTGCATCAGGGACCCCCCTGAGTCTGCATGTTTTCAAGTTCACAGTACATGGAACCAGTTTTTCTTTTTAATTTTTTCCTCACTCAGAGCAGCCACACACAGTGGCCGTTGACGCCGGAACCTCGGGGCCGTTCCCTACAAGGCCTGGCCAGAGCTGCCCAAGGTTTCTCCTCAATGAGAATCGATGCTGTCATGCTCTATGGATGGGAAAAAAAGCAAGAAAATAAAAGCACCTGGTACAGGTTTCATGAGATCCATTCGGATTCGCTATGTTCCAAACCCGCTGCTGAATGCCATTTGTCCACTTTGTGTGTTGAACAGTTTGTGGCCTAGGAGTGGGTCTCAATTCGAAGAACTGTTATTGGATGCCCCAGAGGTTGATGCAATAGCAGCTCCAGCAGGGCTACTCGTGGAGACCGACTTTCGGATGTGAGGCAGCAAGTAGGGGTCACAGGCCAGCTGCTGGACGTCGATGCGGTCCTCCTTTCGGTAGGCCAAGCATCGTCGAATAAACGCCTGAAAGGAAAGTTTCTTAAAGAAGAATCCTGGTGCCCCAGGAGGGGACCCCGAGGCTCTAAAGCAGCTGCCAGGGCCCTTCCCAGAAACTACCTGGCGGACCTGGAGAAGACCAGGGCAGGAGATGCACTGGCAGCAGCACCTCCCTGTGGCCACCGACTCCTGCCAGAAAGAGCAGCTGAGCCATGCCCGAGGGGGAATGGGGAGTGACCTCCAAATACCTCTGTCCCCAAAGCACAAGACCAACACACAACTCTCTCTCTTTGCCTTGGCTGGTTTGCATGGGTATAGTCTAACTTCACGGTCCCACATATGTAAAGCACAGCCTCCTGCGGACTTCCTGAGCAAGTGGGAACCGTAATGACCAACTACCACCACATTCAGGGTGAGGAGACTGGCACTGACCGACACTGCAGTGTGTCGCAGATTGGTACACACTTTCCCTTTGTATCCCGGCCTTTCCTGAAAGATTATGAAGCAAATGAGCAGGCACATGCTCATTTGTGTAAAGGAAAACCTTGTCTCCCCAAGAGTACTGCAGACATAAAGACCTACTGTGAGTGGGGTATGATTCGGATTCCTAATTTACCACCTACATGGAGGTTTCTTTTGCATCAGGTATGAAGGGCTATGTAGTCTCAATTTCTACAACTCTTATCATAAAGGCCCATAAATACATGATCTGTCTTTTTCACCAGACAGTTCTATTTCATTGAGGTCTTATAATTACTTTAAATAAATGAATTGATTTTTTAAAAAATCTCAAGTATCATTATCAAAGCCCATACTTTACACGGCAGTGATAATGACATCTTGGTGGAGGTTCACTGACTGGGATGCCAACAGCGTGGAAGGCTGTGTGTGCACGGGGGCTGGGGGTATGTGGAAACTATACTTCACACTCATTTTTGCTGTGAATCTAAAACTGCTATCAAAATGCAGTCTTTTTGAAAAAATCTAAATCATGAAATGATTTCATTTTTTTCTACGATTAATTAACAAAATACAAAAGTATAAAACAAATCCTGATTTTTCAAAATAAAAGATGCCTATAGGGAGTTGCTTGATTAAAGCATTTGCAAGATAAAAACAGAAATGAACATAATGATCCTTGGTCTTTAAAAATAAACCTTTCTTAGTGAGATACCTAGAACTGGAATTAAAAAGGATTTCTTTGGTTAGATAGTGGTCAAATTAACTCTTTTTACCTTGAATTTTCTCTCCATACAGCTGCCGGTATAGGCTTTTGAAACAGCAATCAGCTCACACAGTTGCCCTGATTACAACTTTCAGCTGTATTCCCATCACGCTTTGCAGTCTGTCCTGCTGCCTCTTACCACTCACTCTCCCCTCTGCTCCGCCCGCTGTGGGGACTTGCTGAGCTCGCACTCACACCGGCTTCACTCGCTTCTCTCTCCTCGGAATACTCTTCTCCCAAATTTATACACGGCCTCCACCTTCACATCATTCAAGACTGCTCAGAAACTCGCTTCATCACTGAGGCTTTCCCTGGCCTTGTCATCAAAAAAGGGGTCCCTCCCACTTCTCTGCCCCTTTACCCCGATTTACTTTCTTCATAACATTTATCACCATCTGAACCATGTCTGGTTTTAGTCATTGTTTGTCTCACCTAGTGGAAGGTAAATTTCTTAAAGGCTGGGACCTTGTCTGTACAGTTCACTGCTAAAGACTCAGAGTTTCTTCCGCTTATCTAGAACAGTGTCTACTGCTTAACAGGCACTCAACAAATATTTCTTGTGGGAAGAGAAGGGGAGAAGAGGGTGGAAGTTGGAAAAACATACATTTAGGAGGAGGTGGTTTTTAATGAGTCTTGAATTTTGTACTGAATAATCCATCACTATTACCTAGAGAAATGACACAAACATCACAGCAGTCATTTCT